GATCTGTGGCAGTTCATAAGAGAACTTACAAGAGGGAAATCATACCTGACTTCATTCTCACCAATTTGCTGGCTGGAGACACATCTGTCCTTGACAGTATCAGTAAAAGTGACCACCGCACCATCCTAGTAGAGACTAAGTCCCAGGTACACGTTGAGAATACCCTCCATCGTGTTGTGCGACACTATCACTGTGCTAAATGGGACAGACTTCGAACAGATTTAGCAGTTCAAGACTGGGCATCCATGAGTACTCCAACACAATCTGCAATCTTCCTGCTGGCATATTCCTCACTCAACCATTACCATCAAGCCAATGAGATCAACCCTGGTTCAATGCAGAGTGCAGGACCATGTTGCAGGACTAGCAGCATGAAATGAGGCATCAACCTGATGAAGCAACCAAACAGGACTACACGCGGACCAAACGGCATAAGCAGAAACTGATAGACAGAGCTAAGCAATTCCACAACCAACGAATCAGATCTAAGCTCTGCAGTCCTGCCGCACCCAGTTGTGAATGGTGGTGGGCATAAATGACTCACTGGAGGAGGAGGCTCCACAGATATCCACATCCTCAATGATGCGGCAGCCCAACACACCAGTGCACTAGATAAGGCTGAAGCATTCGCAGCAAGCTCCAATATTACTGAAGACTTGTGCTCGAGAACTTGCTTATTCCCTATCCATGCTCTTCTAGTACAATTACAACACTGGCATCTACCTGACAATGTGAAAAATTGCCCACATATGTCCTGTACATAAAATGCAGGACAAATCCAACCCAGCCGATTACTGCCCCATCAGTCTTCTCTTGATCATCAATAAAGTGATGGAAGGTGTCATCAACAGCGCTATCAAACAGCACCTGCTCAGCAACAACCTGCTCAGTGACGCTCAGTTTGGGTTCCGCCAGGGCCACTCAGCCCTGGTTCAAAGATGGACAAAAGAGCTGAATTCCAGAAGGGAGGTGAGAGTGACTGCTCTTGACATCAGAACTGCATTAGATTGAGTGTGGTATTATGTAGCCCTAGAAAAACTGGAATTGATGGGTATCGTAAACTCTTTGTTGGTTGGCACATAGGAAGATGGTGGTGGTTGTTGGAGGTCAGTCATCTCAGCTCCAGGATATCTCTGCAGGAGTTTCTCAGGGTAGTGTCCTAGACCAAATCATCGTCAGCTGCTTAATCATTGACCTTCCCTCCATCATCGGATCAGAAGTGAGGTTGTTCACTGATGATTGCACAAAGTTCAGCATTATTTGTGTCTCTTCAGATACTGAAGCAGCCCGTGTCCAAATGTAACAAGAGCTGACAATATCTAGGCTTTGGCTGACAAATGGCAAGTAACATTTGCACCACATAAACGCCAGACAAAAATATCCGCCAGTATCAACATCCTTGGGGTTACCATTGACCAGAAACTTAACTGCACTCAACATATAAAAACAGTGGCTACAACAATGGTCAAATGCTAAGAGTATTGCAATGAATAATTCATCTCTTGTCTCCTCAAAACTTGTCTACCATCTACAAGGCACAAGTCAGAATTTTGATGGAATACTCCCCATTTGCCTGGATGGGTGCAGCTCCAACAACACTCAAGCTTGACATCATCCAGGACAAAATAGCTTGTGTGCCTGGCACTATTTCCATAAGCATCCACTCCCTCCACTACTGATGCTCAGTCACAGCAGTGTGTACTTTCTACAAGATGCACCACAGAAATTCACCAAAGATTCTTAGTCAGCGCCTTCAAAACCCAGATCACTTCCATCTAGAAGGACAAGGACATCAGATAGATGGGAATACCACCATGTGTAAGTTCCTCTCCAAGTTACTTACCATCCTGACTTAGAAACATATTGCCATTGCTTCACTGTCACTGGGTCAAAATCCTGGAATTCCTTCCTTAAGGACTTTGTGGGTCAACCCCTAGTAGGTGGACTGCAGTAGTTCTAGAAGGCAGCTCACCACTACCTTTTCAAGGGCAACTGGGGATGGGCAATAAATACTGGTCCAGCCAGTAATGCCCATATCACAAAAGAGATTTTTTTTTAAAAGCCTTCAATTGGAAAAACAAATGGTGCACTCCTTTCCAAGCTTTCTGCACTTCAATAATTTTGAAATTGTTCCATTTGTCCTCCCCTAAACAATTCCTGCACTTGGTATGTTCCAGTGCAGTACAGTAAAATCTAAAACAGTGTTAAGAAATTGGAACAAATAAGTCATTTGAAATCAGAGGTCTATAGAAGCTACATTTTCATTGGTCTAATCAATGTGGGAACTCATGGTGATCAATTTGGTATATCATATTGCACATCAGAAAGCTGCAGTAGGGCTCCACATAAAGCAATCCTTTTTTTCTCTCTCTCTCACACACACACACACACACACACACACACACACACACTCACATAGACACACGCACATAGATGCACGCACACACAGACACATGCACACACAAAACTTGCACATTTGTAGTACACAAATGCTCCAAAATGGTTCACTATTTGGGCTTCACAGATGTTTTCAATGTATTTTGTATGATTTTTATGCTGTATTGAATTTCTGCAACACTTTGACCATCTGATTCTATAAAACTATTCCAGTGGCCAGTCTTAACTTCTTTCCATGTTGCTGTCTCTAATGACATTTCTGGGAGCTCCTCGTTCTTGGTTACTGTAATTGAGTCATCTTTTGTTAACCATCTCTTTTCTAAGTCTGGCTGACCTCCAATCTCTGATATCTGTGACCTTCTCCTGTATTGCAACTCATACTATATCACCACGGAACCTCGGCTCCTTGCCCCAGTCTCTGAATCATCCAGCTTGTTTCTCATGATGAATCCAGAATATACACTGGACAAATTGCCTAATAGATCAGATTCCTGGGGAGATCTCCATGTTAACCTCCATATCACCCTCCTAACTAACACTCTCAGCCTTGAGAGTGCGCTCTTCCAATTCTGGCCTCTTATTTCCTTCACTCCACCAAAGACACAGTGGTTTTCAGCTGGCCCTAATCTCTAGAATTCCTTTCTTAAACTGTTGTTTGAAGAAATACACTAGTCCCTTGAGACCACTCGAGCACCCAATTAGATCAGCCCTGATCTGATTCCTCCATTTTCCTATCTATCCAATCATCTTTCATGCCTTTGCTTATCAAGAATCTATCAGTCTCTGCCTCAAAAATATTCAAAGTCTCTGCATCTACCACTTTGTGGGAAAGAAAGTTCCAAAGACTCTGTGAGAAAAGAAATTTTCCTCATTTGTGTCATAAATGGATGACCCCCTTATTTCTAAACAAATAACCCGTAGTTCTAGATTCTCCCATAAGAGGAAACCTTTCCCATGCACCCTGTCAAAATCCCTCATGAAGTCATCTCTTATTCTTTTAAACTCCAGAGGATACAAGTCCAGCCTGTCCAAACTTTGCTCAGAAGGCCAATACTCACTAGACTTAAGAGGGATAAGAAGTGATCTAACTGAGATATATAAGATACTAAAGGGAATTCACAAACTTCAGATAGAGCAGATGTTTCCCCTCGCGCAGCTATCTAGAATGAGAGGTCATAGTTTTAGAATAAGGGGTAGCAGATTTCAGACAGAGCTGAGGAGAGATTATTTCTTTTAAAGGGCCATGAATCTATGGAATTCACTACCTCAGAGTGTGATGGATGCCAAGGCACTGAATAAATTTAAGGAGATGAACAGATCTTAATTAGTACTGAGTTGAAGGGCTATGGAGAGTGGCAGGAAAATGGAGTTGAAGCTGCGAGGAGACCAGCCATGATTGTATCAAACAACAGAGCAGACTCGCGGGGCTGAATTGTCTCCTGTTCCTAGATCTTACATTCTTAGTCTTGCCATAAGGCTACAAGAGAGAACAAGATCATGTGAAATTGGACCACTTTCTACAATGATGTTGACTGTGGATCATTAGCATATCACATAGGCAGACTTAGCTCCTTATTCGACAACTCTCTGCCTCTCTATCTCACTTTTCTCCTTTAAAAGCAGCTTGAAACTCCTTGAAACCTAGCTCATTGGCCAACCTTCCTGACACCTTTCCCAATATCTCCTTACAGGCTCATTGTCAAATTTTGTTTGGATGTCCCTGTGAAGCAGTTCAGAATGTATTTTTATATCAAATATGATTGATAAATACAACTGTCGTGAGATTCAAACTATTAAGAGGCAGATTGAGAAATGAGTTACCCTTCATACATAAAATTCCTTATTTGAAGCCAAACCTGCCTGCTAAGTATTTTAGAACATATAACATAGAACGTGGAACAATACAGCACAGGACGGGCCCTGTGCCCCCACGATGTGCCTTCTGCATGCCTTTGGTCCGTATTCCTCCGTTCCTTGCGTTTTGTGTCAGATGCCTGATTTATACACTATCTAGTTTTATGCTTTACTGATGGCTGAGTTTTGCTGGGTAGGTTAGAATTAAAATTAATACTGGAGTGATCAATGTGAGTGATAAATTCTCTTAAAGTAATAAACTCTCTTAATGAGTAAAGGAAACAAAAATCTAGATTCAGTTAAAAAAAAGGTAGATACTAAAACAGGAGATGTTAGAATCTCTTTGAAGTGGACATAAGAAGCGCTAAATGGGTTTCTTCATACATAATTATCAATTATTTTATGTTTCATAGCAGCCATGGAAACCCAAACTGTTGACCTGCTGTGGTTTTATTTTTCCCTTCCTGTATTGCTGCATACAAGAATATACAAACAATCACATTTTTTAACTGAAAAGATCACTAGAATTTCAATCACTTTTGCTAAAAACAAAACTCTGTCTTTCTTGCTCATTTTCCTGCCTTAGCCATTTCATTGTGCGCAAAATGTTCAACTTCATCATCATCAGAATAGGTAAAGAGGACACAATTTAACCCTTGGGGGGTAACCTGTAACCAACACTACTTTATAAAGCACATGGTGTCAATGTTAGAATAATTCAGCAAGGAGGCATACTGCGCAGCACTCACCATTCCCACTGCTGTTCCTCGTCCCTTGCTCCTGGAAAATATCCTTCGATTCCACGGTGCAGTGAATAGCTAAGAAGAAAAACTGTAAGAGTGAGTCACTCCCTGTCATTTAGACAATGCCCACTATTACCCACCTAGCTGTCCACCCATAATTTCATCTGCTTGCTCAAGCTCTTGCTGACTGCACCCTTCTTCTCATATCCAGGAGGTCTACTTAATGGCTATTCCAATATGGACAGTTGAGCCATGCCCTTGCCAAATGTCCTTCTTTGCAGGATGAATGGTTTACCAATGGTAATACCATCAGATTCATTCACATCTTCCCTTTTATTAGAGACTCTTCATATTCTATAGCTTCCTGGCTGGGACTATCAATACCATTTAATGCAATGGTGGGATCCTGCTGTTCTGGATGAGCGCATTTACCACACTGATCATTCCAAACTTTGCACACGGCCAGACCATCCGGATGCCACCTTCATCCATTTAAACCTGTCACACATCTTCTTTAGAACCACCCAAAACTCAGGTCCTTTTGATGCTTTGCCGTCCCAGTTGCCAACAATCCTATTGAAATACTTTGGCATTCTTACCCCAAAGCTGGTTCAAAATCTTTCTGAACAATATCTGGACTCAGCGAAATCTTCCACTTTTAACTCCTGATGCAGTGTCAGAATAAACAAACGCAGCTTTGAGTTGGTTCTGGCCAGAATCCAGAGAGGACAAAACAACCTCCGGCTCAGCTGCCAACACCCACTAATATCAGCCGTTTACCAATCATCCCTAGCACCCACTCTCAAATACCTGCGTCTTCCTTATCTACTGTTTTAATACAGATTCCATTGAGCTTGGAGCTACCAGGGAATATCCTTCTCTCTGCACGGTGCTTAAGCCCAGACTGAGTGTGTCTATAAGATACTGAACAGATTGCCTTGTTGTATCAAAGTCCGCACAGGGAAAAGAAAGTAGAATTTACTGCAGTTGAACTTTGTTCTGTCATTGTTGTAAGTGCGTCATTCTGGTTAAATGAAAGTCAGTTACTTCTCAACAGAATCTGCTTTACTAGAACACATTGCCACTCCCTGACCCAGGGAATTGTGGAGATGGGGCAACGTGCCAATCACTTACAAGTAGGTGGTCATGTGGCTTGCGCATTGCCTACTGTCCTGTTTGTGGATGGCACTGTCACCAGCTGTCCACTGCCTGCTTTCCATTTGCTGTTCCTCACGCCAGTCCTCACTGCTTGCCTTCTGATCTGATCATCCTGCTTCTACTCTGTCACCTCACTCCCCATCCATTGCCGCCTACCTCTTGTTTCCTGTTCTCCTTGGCCTTTCCCCACTCCCAGCTTGGCAGAGAGTTACTGGTTCCCTGCTTGAGTTGCAGTTCCCCAATGGCCCTGTGTGTAAACACCACAAATGGACTACAGAGCTATATGGATCAGAGTTTTCATTCTTAGACTAGTCTGCTTGAGCTGATTGCAGCCGGTAGCAGCAGAGCCTCAGTGAGGGGAAGAATGACGTGGATTCCTGTTCTTCATTGCCATGCACTGAATAGGATACATACTTAATGAACGGTGTAATAGAATGATTAATGCATAAATTCATGATTTTGAGGGAGACCACTATCTTTTCAAAATAAATTCTTACTCCAGTTGTTAACTTAAAAAGTCACACAATGCCACATTTTAAACAAAACTTCTACTGTACAAGAATTAAACAAATCAAGGACTATTAATTCAACAAGATATTTTATAAACCTTTATTAAACATAAAAATTGCCCACAGGCCATACTCCATTATGTATTGAATTGGACTTCATGTTCTCCTATATGCTGCAGGATCTTGAGGGTTCCTTCTCCTGAGTTCAAATCAAGGTGTGCACAGCTCTTAGGAATTTACTTGAATTTTCCTTATCTTCTGACACTTAGACTTCCAGAAGTCTCTTTCTCTGTCTCTGCAAGGATTACACTACCAACCTCTTCCACCGGTTTGACCAAATCTGCCAATTTTAATCCCTTGTGCACTTTTCATTCTGAACACCATACCCAGTTTGTGGCTTCATATCACAAAGCTGATTGTAATGGCTTTTATTGTCCTTGTTCTGGCTGCATATTTTCTCACATCCCTTCAAGCTTACTGACGATTGCTGTGGTAAAAACACAGATAAACCCCACACAGACCTATTTCCATCGTACCTGGGATGTCCCAGATAGAAATTTAAATCAACGACCTTTTACCTTCAAAACAACCCTTTACCTTTATGATCCAAATATGTAGTTTACATCTCTAATGGAGAGAACAACCCTCTTACTGGACTCACTTGTTCCACAAAGAATACCAGTTTGTATATGTTTTTAACTATTTGGATTGGAGGATCTATACTAATAATTGAAACCTTCTCTGTTTTCATTTCAACTTTTAAGCATTTTCTTGAGATGTTTTGAGACAAAGTATTCAGAATAGCTATTATAATCCTCGATATGGATACCTTTTACTATCTTTCCAGTAACACTGTAAAACCTCCCCGTTGATCTGTAATTAACTGAGGCCAGTTTGAATTGTATTTATTTCAGGGTTGTTTACAATTTTGCAATCAAATGCTTCCATTCATCAAACTTTGAAATTGATTCCCTAAAACGAAATGTTAGTCATCTAAAGCCCAGCAATTATGAATTTTGATATTTCCAACAATATACATTGTGAATAGGATAGAGTGAGCAATGAACACTGTACAATGTGTATGCCCAGGGAAAGGGGCTTAAAGGTATGTTAAAAAAAAGGTAAAGATAAAGTCACTGGAGTCCCATTTTCTTGTTAGTGGCAGAGAGACAACTGGTGCTGAGTTTAACCTGAGGGTCACCACACCTCAGGCAAGAGGCAAGATTGACAAGTTGAGACCTTAATGTGACCTCAGCTGGTACAGGAATTGAACCAATGCAGTTGGTGCTATTCTTCATCACAAATCAACCTCTCAGCCAATTGAACTAAACACTCTCAGTTCCTTTAAAAACCGAAAGAACTGTGGATGGTGTAAGTCAGGAACAAAAACAAAGTTGCTGGAAAAACTCAGCAGGCCTGGCAGCATCTGTGAAGGAAAAACAAAGTTAACATTTCGGGTTCGGTGATCCTTCATCAGAACTTTCTGAGGAAGGGTCACTGGACCCGAAACATTAATTCTGTTTTTTCACTCTCAGCTCCTTTGTTTACTTTCAGCAGGCAGGGATACCACATAGGTATGTCAGTTGCATTTCTGTAAGGATTGCTAAGGGATTCTGCACAGCAGCACCTTCCACCCACCACCATGTCTCCTATACCTCAGACCAAACTCTGAATATGGGGAGAACAGTTTGAAGAAGTAACTATCAACTCCTCAATTGCTCACTCATGTATCCACGACAGGAATCTCATTGTATCAGGATTGTGACACTTCCTTTTCCAAAGCAATTGACAGCTTCAAAGCTGCCATAACATCACTGCTTCCACTAGGAGATGTACAGAGTGATTGGAGTGATAGCACCAGCAATGGCCACAAAATCTAACAATGTTTCAACAGAAACAGAAACTGAACAGCTCCTGTCTGATCAGTTAAGAGGGAAGTGCAGCACTGTAACATTAGCATTCTTGTCCATGATATGTTTTGGCAAATAAAAGTGATGATCATAGAATAGAATCCCTACAGTGTGGAAGCAGGCCATTCAGCCCATCGAGTGCACACCAACCCTCTGAAGACCATCCCACCCAGACCCACCCTTTCCCTGTAACCCTGCATTTTCCCATGGTTAATTCACCTAGCTTGCACATCCCTGGACACTATGGGCAATTTAGCATGGCCAATCCACCTTACCTGCACATTTGGACTGTGGGAGGAAACCCACGCAGAAAATGAGTGGAATTGAACCCAGGTCTGTGGTGCTGTGAGGTAGCACTGCTAAAAGGTTAAACTCCAATAGTCATTGGCAACAAACTCCTTATTTTGGGAATTGATTGCTAAACTTAGCCAGGATCTCCAGGCATGGACAGGGTTCAAACCCACAATCTCTGGTTTACAAGACCAACACCTTCCCACTTGGCCACCACACCATACCTGGTGAAATGAGCCAACTTGGTACAGGCCAAATGGAGATAAAGTAGCACTCCTCTCATGCCTTATTGGCCTTCAATAAGATCGCCTCTAAATTGCCATATTTCAGAAGTGAAAAATTCATATTTTTCTGCAATTGGCTGAATAACGTTATTCTGTGTTGTAATAGACGCAGCACTCTATGAATAACGTGACCAGTGTTCTACATAGCTTAGTCATAACCTCCAGGCTTGTGCACTGCTGATTCAGTGAATTACCGCACTATATTGATTAAACTTGTTGAATGTTAAGTCTAAATCAGAATCCTCAGTCGCTTTCAACTTCAACCGTAAAAATGTAATTGTCTTTCCCAGTGTTTGCATTTTTCTTCCTGTCAACAAACACATTGAATGTGTACAAACCATTGAGAAACAGAACCAGAAGTGGTACCAAACACCCCAACAAACTGAGGCATATAAATAACAAGCGGGACAGAACACAGACGCTTCACCGGAGGTGCACTGACGATGTTACCTAGCAGGGTGACGAAACGTTTGCAACCAAGCCTACCAGCTCGGTGAGCATGTCTCCAACCTTTATTAATTAGTCTACCATGTGGAACCTTGTCAAAGGCTTTAATGAAGTCCATCTAGACAACATCTACCACTCTGCCCACTTGAATCTTTTTCGTTATGTTCTTAAAAACAAACAAGTTTGTGAGACACGATTTCCCACATACAATGCATATTGACTATCCCTAATCAGTCCTTGCCTCTTCATATGCTTGTAAATCCTATCTGTCAGAGTCCCAACTGACAACATACCCACCACTGATGTCAGACTCACAGGTCTACAGTTCCCAAGGCTTCTCTTTACAGCCTTTCTTAAATAAAGGCATATTTGCCACCCGCCAGTCCTCTGGCACTCCACCATTGGTTGTAGATGATACAAACATCTCTGCTAGGCCCCGCAATTTCCTCCCTAACGTCCCAAAACATCCTGGGATTCACTCAATCTGTTCCCAGAGATTTATCCACCTTTATGTTTTTTTTTAAGACCTCCAACACTTCCTCTTCTATAATGTGAACTGTTTTCAAGACATCAATATCTATTTTCCAAAGTCCCTAGCCTCCATTTTTTTCTCCACAATAAAAACTGATATAAAATATTCATTTAGTATCTCTCCAATCTCCTGTGGTTCCATATTTAGATGACTTTATTGATCTTTAAGGGGCCATACTCTCTCTCTAGTTGCTCTCTTACTCTTAATGCATTTGTAGAATCTCTTTGGATTATTTTAACCTCATTTGCCAATGTTATTTCATATCTCTTTTTTGCCCTCCTGATTTCCCTCTTAAGATTACCCCAACACCTCTTCTACTCTTCAAGAGATTCACTTGTTCCCAGTTGTCTATACCTAACAAATGCTTCCTTCTTATTATTGACCAGAGACCCAATATCTTTATTCATCCATTGTTCCCTACTCTTACTCTTCATTCTATTAGGAACATAATGTATCTGAACTCTTAGGATCTCATTTTGAAAGCATCTCACTTGCCAGTTGTCCCTTTACCTGCGAACAGTCTATTCCAATCAACTTTTGAAAGTTCCTGTCTCATTCCATCAAAATTTTTCTTCTTCCAATTAAGAACTTTAACTTTTATACAAGGTCTATCCTTTTCCATAACTATTTTAAAACTAATAGAATTATGAGCACTGGCCCCAAAGTGCTCCCCACTAACACTTCAGTCACTTGTCCTGTTTCATTTCCCAAGAGAAGGTCAAATTTTGTTCCTTCACTACTAGGAACATTTACATATTGGTAAAGAAAATTTTCTTGAACACATTTAACAAATTCCTCCCCTTCCAAGCCCTTAACACTATGGCAGTCCCAGTCTACATTTGGAAAGTTAAAATCTCTGAATATTACAAACCTTTTATTCTTACACATATCTGAGATCTCTGTACATATTTGCTCCTCAATTTCCCTCTGACTATTGGGGTCTGGGGGGCGTGGGGGT